CTGTGAGGAGCCATCCTGTATGGCTCGCAGGGTCATGGAGGCGCGCAAGCCATCTCACCACGTCGAGGTACAGTCTCGTCGTGATGGTCTTCCAGGTTGGGGTCCGGAAGACTGCAACTGGCTGGTTGGAGACACTGAAGGCTTCCTGGTTGATCGAGTCAGGCTTGTTAAGAGAAGCTGTAAGGTGTGAGGATAGAAAAATATACTCTAACAAATTTGGCTGTGATACAAATTTTACTTGCAAACTAAGGTTTGTGCAACACAGCCCAGTATATGGTTTGTGGGGTCAACTCGGAAATTAGTCATAAGTCCACCTGAGGGTCGGGTTCGTAAATTCTCAAACAATAACACACTCAACCAAACAGTGTGGTGAAAATAACCCTACACAACACTTGGTTCGCTTACAGGAATCACGTGTACTGTAGACGAGTAACAAAAGAAATATGAAGTTGATAATTCACAATGGATACGGGGTTTGGAAACATGTATGCATATGAAATGCGTCGATTATACGTGGTACTGTTCCTACTGGTTCTGCAACGTGCGTGTGTGAATAATAGATGTTAATGTCCATTGTAGCGTAATTGATCAAAATGATGTGCAGTCTTTCGATATTGGCGTACGTTCCCTACACTGTCCTTGGTGAATATCACAACAGCAATAACGCTGTATGCACTGATCGAACCGCACCATCCTCGTTCTTAGGTTCTGTTATATCTTTTCTTTCCCTTCACAGGAGTCAAACGTTTTACCGATTGATTTCTCCGATATCCTGTTCTATGTGGTGACGACGTTTTTTGTTGTATTCGTCACGAGCAAAATTTTCCGATCGATCACAGGGCGTTATTCATCACGTGACGTGAAGGCAAAATCAGTGACGACAGTCTTGTCCGGCGCTCGCGATGATTCTGGTACGTCCAGTCCACTTCACTTTGTGGAATTTGTGTTTCTACTTTGGTTGTTTGTTCTACTTTTTTGACCCTATACATTAGTGAGATGGGCAGCCTAATAGGTGCCACCCTATAACGCGAAGAATCATGGGAATTTCAAGACTATCCACAGTAGGTTACGATGGGGTCAGTTTTGTATTAGTGACACTAAGACCGTCGATGTCTGAATTTGAGTGGCAGGGTTTGGAATTCTACTGCCCCACTTTTATAGGATCATCTGCTAGTCGATGAGGCGGCTTCGCACATCACGGTACTTGAAGCATATTCTTATTATCAAGATTGAACGTTGTTTGGCATCATCGTTTCTGCTACTGCAGCTTCCTATTACCATCCACGGCAGGGGTGTTGCTACGACGAAAACACCGAAGTAAAATGAGCGGCATTCACTGTGCTATATGGTGACTTTGTTTGTCATAACCACCTTGTGCATCTTCCCAATTTTTTTTGCAACCTTAGTCGACTGAAATTCTCCATTTTCTCTTCCATGCTACTTTCAGCCTTCCTTTATTTGCTTGCTCTTCTTCTTGCTTCTTCATCGTAATGAACAGCCGAAAGACAGCAACCAAAACTGGTGCACGAAAGTGCATGGTCAATAGCTGTACAGACTGAAAATGGAACTGATGCATGACCATGGAACCTTCTCAAAATGCAAGACCATATTGCAATACTGCGCGATTTATGTTCAGGACGATATCACTGCGTTCCGGCATGGTGCATACTCCAGAAAATGCAATATTTATATAGGGCTTTAGCATGACAACGTGGGAAAGTAGAATAAATTAAAACAGACAAAACATAAAAATGAGGAGGGGCTAAAAGGACAATTTTACCATGGTAAGACAGGACAGACTAACAAAGTTCTTTTTTTTGATGCAGGGGGCTCCATCGATTAATAACAATCGCTTCAGCAAACCCTAGCTATCTTGAGACTCGTGACTCGTAGACAATCTGAAACGCTATGCTTCGATCGATATGGTTTTGTGTCATCAGAAGATGTCTATCAATGACTGAGGACGGGGTTTTGTAGTTCCGACCGTTGTTTTCATGCCGCGGACTTGAATTCGCTTGTGTCATCTGATTTCGGACCCAATGCTAAAGCCCCATATAAACATTGCATTTCCTGTAGTATGTACCATGGTGAGATGCATCAAATTCGTCTTGGACAAAAATCATTCATTATTGAAATATGGCCTTTTCTTTTGAAATTGATCTCAGGAAACGCTTGCTTCATGGAACATTTTGTCGAGGGAGTGGTCCTATTGAGACACCGTTCAGCCACTACATTTTGTTTGTCCTTTATTTCAACTTTCGGTTCGATCACACGGCTACTGAAAATGGTCTATCGATAGATCATTTTATATCAGTCGTTCCACGTGCAGTTCATTTTATTTAGCCATTTGTAGGACATCGTAAGTCTCCGTCTGGGTAAGATCAGAAACGAAATTAATGCCTTTTATCCGATCACCAACACATTTCATCTTTTTATTATTATCACTAGTCGGTTTCGTTACTCGTCCTGTGTCATTGCCCTTCACGGAAATTTTTTTGTATGTACTTTGGTACAAACTTTACACCAAGATCTAGCATGTAGTAGTGTGATTGCTCTGAACGCTATGACGCTTATTGGAAAGCAAAATTTCTCATCGCCGATTCATCTGGTATATCGTGATAGTATATCAGGGTTTTCGTACAGTTTTTATGAACCACTGGTGTTGTTTGGCCATGTCCACGAGCAAGTTTGACCGTTGTTACCGATAACAACGGACACATATGAACTGTAAACATCTTGTTTCTGGGGTACCTTCTCTATCTTCCCACTGGCAGCCCCCCGACATGTGTCGTTAAATACCATATCGTCCGAACTGTGAGGGTTATTTTCTCACTCGTTTAACCTTTAGATTTTCGTTGAATTGACATCTTATACTGGAGTGGATTGCACATGCACTGCACGTCCCTTTTCGTTTATGTATTAGGTCCTCATTGGTTACACCTGTTGTGTGTGTATTCTCGTTGCACGCCCGGTAGTTGCTCAAAATCTGTCATCGATTTCGCAGAGGACCTGAAGTACTCAATTCATATAAGGTTTCAACCTTTGGTATTTTTTTCTCCGGTTCGATCAAATCTGATTTTCAGTTGTGCTTAGGATAGGGCGACAGCTATCACTTGAACTTTGATCTGCAAAAAAATCTGATTTACGTTTTACTTAATATTTTACTTAAATATTCACACTACTAACGTATTCAAAGTAGTTGTTTCATATGATGGGAAAATACATCATGTCCCGGAATGGATCCCCGAGGACCTGTCGGCTGATCGAAAGTGTTCCGCACATGTGTGACGGACGGGCTGGGAGCATTCGAGTATGAACTATAAAACAGTACTCACTGTATTTTATGGTATTCCCAAAAGTCGACCGAACGAGATAATTCGTCCCATCAGGTGTCAGCGAACGAATGATTCGCAACCTGATCGATAATCAAGATGGACAGATGATATCCAAATTGTTTTGTAAAAAGGTGGTTTCACGAGTGTCCTGTTGTACTTTGATTTGTATCTGAGGTCATATATAGGATAGAATGAGTGCATCTCATGGTCATAAAGATAGAGACATAATCAGTGGAATCAGCCTCTAAAACGACAAAAATCAATGCTCGCAAAAAACATATTTGAGCAACCGAAATATAATTTTCATGATGCGAAAAGTTTCGCTTCCATACAGAGTCTGCTAAAATTTATTTATAAGTAGAATTCAATACATCTACCTTGGGATTGTAGCAGTCTGGTCGTGTTGGTGCTGCTCAAACGGTCTAATTCGCTGTAGGTAGTATCCGAACGCTCAGTCGTTGGCTTTTCTTAGCTATTCTGTGATGAGTTGTCTCTTATATGCCACCTGAATATCCCGGAGCTTTCGATATGGATAGCCGAAGTTGGTTAGTAATTACTTGATGATAATGAAAGCGGCTAGGTCTATCTATTCGAATTCGGGAACAAGTAGTTCGCGTGCCGTTTTCTTCTCTTTTTCAGTGATCGAGTGAAGGTTAATTGACCTTAACTACTGTTTCTGTCTAAGTGTGTGACATTTATTGACAGCGGGTGAGTGATAGTGCACCTTTGTTGCTGGTCTTGGTTCATTTTCAATAATTCACAATCCATGTTTGAGTTTTGATTTGTGATGTGGGAAAAATGATGTTGATTTAAACCGACTATCCTTCACAATGTTTCAGCCCAGTCTTAAATACTCTCCCTTCTTAAGTATAATTTGCTCCTTCCTGTCCTATTGGTAGCCTGCAACCCTCTTATCAATCCGACTGGTACCTTCATTTATTGATATTTTTTGAATGGTCCAGTCAATTTGGCTATTCCTTCTCATAGATTAGTCAGTAGTTTTTAATGAGTTGTTTGTGTGACTCGACGAAAATAAAAAACTGCCACTGAATCAGCAAAGTTATTCGTCTTGTTCCATTGTAGATTCGCCCGAACCAACCGGTTTAGCAGCACCCACCAAGTCTCATTTGGAAAAGAAGTTGGCCATGAATCGAGGTTTGGATTTGCTTAGCGAAGAGGAGAAAGAAGAGGAGGCCTCAGTTCGAGCCGCTCAGTTGTCCAATATTTTACATCTGATGCAATCACAGCCAGATCGATTTGGCGATATGTCCATGGAAGAAATGAGTGCACAGTTCACACAGTTCTATGTTCGCAAAAATGAAGACTGATTATCTGTTAATCTAGTCCATTCCCATTGTATATACATGATTAAAAATCGATTTCATTTTCACAAATCTGTTCGAAAAATTGAGGACGGGGTTTAGGCTGATGGTTGGATTACGTTACATACGGATTGTACATGATCGTAACCGCGTCCATCGTGGACAGACTATCTAGAATCGATAGCTCAAACATTTTTCACTTTCGCGTGTCTATGAGGAGCCGAAACCACTGTTTTTCATCTGCGTTTTTGCTCGAACGGCACCAAGTGTGACGACTCATCACTGTGTACGTTAGACTTTTTTTTCTCTCAAGCCAGCGATGTTGAATGAATGAAACCCGTTATAAGTAATATTCTCTTCATGTTGGAATTGTGTTCAGTAGCCTCCGTGGGAATCGAACCCACGGATGGACGCCACCTACGCTTTTGTACAACGCACGCTCTACCAGTTGAGCCACGAGGCCAACCATTCGCACAATATCTCAGTCTCTAGAAGCTGGTATCAAACTTCGCATAGAGAGTTTGGTGAATTGAAAACTACCAAATGGAGTCAGAAATATAAAGGTTGATAGGTAGGTCAGCGCGACTTGACCGTTCATGCGCAGTTTTCTTGTTCGTGCCATCGTTTATCTTATTGGTCCTGCTTACGCCATTCCTATCGGCTGTTACAATGCTGCATCGAATCCAGATCTCTGGGTGAGTGTAATCGATGGTTGGAGCGATATGACTTGGTGTTCTGAACAGTCTTCCTTGTACATCCACTCAATGTCCCTGCAAACAGAGTCTCAGAATTCTCCATTTTCACTTTGATATTGTTTCTGTGATTCCACTGCTCCCTCCAAAACTGCTTCATTTCAACGGGTTGCCAAAAGACAGCAACCAGAAGCGCCACTCAGGAGTGAATGGATGATGCATGCGTAACTTAAAGAAAAATCTTTACAGGATATCTTTCTAACTGGTGACAGCTAGTGATGTTCATTTATTGCATTATCATCATCATTGTACAGCGTAATACAGTGAAGCGAACTTCCCTGATCGCTGTCAAACTCATATTGCATACACGGTAAGTGAGAATTCGTAAGGAGGAAAGCGTTTGGACTTACTTTTAGCGACGGGAAAAGAAAACGAACCTCTATGGTCAATACACAGGATACACAGTCCAACTGTGCACATACTATTTCAAGCATTCTGGTATGATCACCATTGCTTTCGGAAGACGAGAGACACCTACTCTATCTAACGGCTTTGTGTACTTCTTCACACCTTGTCTCCACGTCATGTGCTGGCCTACACGTGGCTTCCTCCAGCTTACAACAGCCACTGCGAATAAGGCGCGCTGCGGTAGGCGACCATCGGACATACGTAACGTGTCCTAACCAACGGAGCCTATTGAGCTGGATTCGATGTGATAGCGAGTTCTTGTTTGATGTATTCCCAAACACCGGATGGCTTACGTCCAAGTTACTAATCTGCTCACTTCATACTACGTGGGCCAGACTATGTAAGCATCGATTGTCGAACACTGCTAAACGACGGGTGTTATCTAACTGCAAATTCTAGTTCTCACAGCCGTCAAGTATAACTGATAATACGGTGGCGCAGTATACGCGACTGTTCAACTTCAGTGAAATGTCAAGCCGCCGCCACAGGTGTTAGGTCTTGTGTACGCTGCTCGAGCCTTGGAAATGCGGGCGGGTATCTCCCTTGATGCACTACCGTCGTTGGTCGCGCAGCTACATAAGTACGAGAACCAGTCAACTACAGCCAATATCTGACCGTCTAGTTTCAGATTAGAACTCGGTGACACCCAGTCTTGTAGCNTAGCATCACTTTGCACTTTGAAGGTGCAAAGCACATACCGAACGGAGCGACAGAACTTGCTAATCTGTCAAGCACTCTTTGTGCATCCTTCGTGGATTCGAACAAGCAAACGGTGTCGTCAGCGTACTCCAAAGCGCACAGCTTTTCTCCAGCTGTCCATTCATACCTACAGTTTGGAGATCTGTTAGTGTGTTCTCCAGTATTTCGTCTATGACGAAATTTGACAGGAATGGCAAGAGGGCACCCTTGACGAACACCGCAGCTAGTTACGAACGACCTACTCAGCTCTCCGTAGACCCTTACGCTACCAGAGGTATGTGAGTAGAGTGAGCCCAGTATGTTCACATACTTCTACGGCATTCCTTTGCGAAGGAGTGAACCCATAAGGAATTCACAATCAACTGAGTCGAAGGTTCCTTTTAGGTTAAGGTATGCGGCAACCGTTGGTCGACGGTGCGTATGGCGTAGCTCAAGGACTTGACGCAGAGTGAAGATTTGGTCTATACAGCTGTTACCTGGTCTAAATCCTGTTTGTTATTCGCGGATGTTCGTCTCCCTAAACGGCGTCAGACGTCGAAGTGTAATAGAGGCCAGTAACTTGGTGACGATTGGGATCATACTTATTCCTCGGTGGTTTGCGCAGTCGTTGCGAGACCCCTTCTTAAAAATTGGAACGATCAGCGATTCGTTCCAGGATGATGGAATGCGCTCATGTTACCAGATGTCACGCATTAGATCAGTAATGGAGTCTACAAGGTCATCGCCCCCCATCTTGAAAAGGGTGGGATGAAGCCTGTCTGGCTCTACTGCTTTTCCTTTTCTCAGGGGTTGTATGCAAGAACGAAATTCTGCTTCAGTAGGAGGTTCAGATGATACTGCCGACGGAGCCTCAGCTACACCGGAGGAGATAGCCTGGTTAGCTCCAGGCCAGCTGAATTGCTCGTTGAATTACTCCGCCCACCGGTCAAACCGTTGTTCCCTATTTTGATTAGCTTTTCCACTTTTGTCACCGATTGTTTCACTAGCTGTGGTTTGCCGACCCCTCGTATTGCATATCATTTGGAACAGTCTTTGACTATTCCCCAATGCAGCTGCCACTTCCATTTCACTAGCTATCGTTGCCCACCATTTCTCACGATCTTTCTTGAGGCTCTTCATCAGCTGACATCGCAGGCGCCACCTAACCTTGCCTTGATCCCGGGTGTATGGGATTTGCCGGTTTTGCTCCATCAG